AAAGACCATTGGAACAAGTTCCTGCCAGTTTGTTTCATATTTTGGCTCAAACAATTGCCATATTGTAGAACGACACTTAAATGCTCTTGGGTCCAAGAGTTTTTTTGGTGATATAGACTCATTTACTCATACCAGGGCTCCATGTGTGAATTCAGAGCATGCAATGGGGGTGTTTTCTATCCCTCATTTAAAGGGAAAAGCTGGATGGGGCCGGGGGGGGCATCCATGCCATATGTCAGGTCCCATTCTAGAAGTTAGGAATACTGCCCTGAAGAAAAAGGACAAAAATCTGTGCTATCATGAGGCAGAGAGAAAATAAACAAAATACCAACATAAAATACATAGTGCGCTGGATGCAGAAATGTACCTCAAAGGGAAATGAAGCAGAAGGGGGAGGTCTGGTAAGGGGGTCAATGTTAAATGTAGTCAGGTCACACCTCAGACAGAAGGTGACATTTGAATTCAGCAAGGTTTTAGAATCTGAACCCAAGATTGTGAGTAACCTTAGAAAACAAGTATAGTGAAATTCATCCTGCTTGATATAGGGAGGTGGAAAGATACAGGAACTTGGATACATGAGACACGACGTTTTTATCTATTATTTGAATGTAATTTCAAATTTCAGGTAACTTTCTCAGCTTCAGGATCAGAGTATTCTTCAGTATTTTAAAAAGCCATTTCACAGACACTTCATTTGCTTATCTGATAAGTGTCCCTACAGTTTCATGAAGAATCCTTCCCACTATAAAAATTAGCAAGCCTCTTCTTTAAAGCATATGTCTACTAAAAGGTGAACTAGGTGGCTGCACGGGGATTTGTTGAAATCAACATAATTCTGAATGATCTTCTGGCAGCCAACTGAGCTGAAGGGAAAATCAATCACAGGGCAGGAACAAGAAAAATTATAACTGCTCTGGAACAAAAGTCTGAAACCAAGCCAATCTCACATCGTTTCCTCTGAAACTTTGGAGCACATCCACATACCTCACAGGGGTAACAGATGTGATTTTCAATTATGAAGTGCAATACTAGGGCAAGAACGTGGTTAAGAGATTCTGTTTCTTTTTGGGCTCCATAATATTTTGTCTCTGGAGGCCAGCGACTGTGTTTTTCTACTTCCCCATCACTCCTTGTGGGAATAGGGTCTGCAGCACCTGTGTGCCTTAATTGTGGGCCTGACCCTATCTCTCCTGAACCACAGAGAGCACTTGGTCTGAATGCCAAATCTATTCTATATACTTTTAAGATACTCAGTACTCAAGGAATTGTCCCAATAATGCTATGGGGGTCAGTAATGGGATTGTTGTCATTTTATAAGGAGGACCAATTTGTCCAAAGCCATATCAGCCTT